GGTCCAAGGCGGGGGCGCACGCAAAGCCGGGAGGTTGGGGGCACTTCATTGGGCTCTCTGGACCTGCTGGGCCCCGGAGCCGGGGCGGGCAGGTCTCCTGGGACCCGGGCCAAGCCCTGCATGATGTCATTTTGTCTCCCGCCTAATCGCGGGTGGGGGTGAGACGGCGGGTGTCAGCTGGAAGGGCCTTTACTGGGGAAGGGGGTGACCCTGGAGACCGAGGGTGTTCTCACCGCACAGCGCGTGAGAGGCCGCAGGCCGGGAGGCACTTGTCGTCCGGGCCTGGTTTTGGCTCGCGTTTGACGGTGGGCATTTCTCGATATTCCGGGAAGCGCCAAGCCGCCACCCTTCCCGCTTGGTCCGGGAAGGGTGCTGGGGAGGGGGCTCTTTTGTCTCCCCAACCTGCACCGCCCCCGGGCTGCGTTTGGCTCCGGAGCGAGACTTCTGTTGTTCCTCCCTAGGAGTTTGGGGCAGCTGGGGTTGCAGGTGAGGGCAAGAGAACTGATGAGTATCGAGACCGCCCAGCCAGTGGCCCCTGGGGCAAAGGCAGGAACTGCCTCCATTTTACTTACACCCCCGGGGGATTCGTGGTCGAGTCCAGCCTGGAACCCGGCCTGTGCATTCCGGGACCTGAGCTGGGGCTCCCCGGGGTGGAGGAGACAGCTCTGGGCTCTCCCTGTTCTCTCCCTAGGTCCCTGCCACCCAGATAACGTTCGACCCCTCCTCAGATGGTGACTTCCATCTCAAGCTGAGGACACAGAACTGAGAGCCCGCATTACCAGCTTTCCCCAGAGTTCTCTGGGCTGGGTAGCAGTGGGCAGCGCGCCTAGCTAGCACTGGTACTGGTCCTCCTTGGGCCTCAGTTTCCCAGGGCAGCTCCAGCGCTTAGGAAGAACTTTCTGATCAGCCTGTCCTGGTGTTTGGTTCTGGAAATGTTAGTCCTAGACCATCCCAGGTGCTCTGCCACCTCTCCCCTGGGGCTGAGTCCCTCCCATGTGAGAGACAGTTTTTTTGCACCCTAGCATCCTCCCAGCCTTCTTGACCCTTTGCTGTAACTCTCTTCCTGGTGTCCTGGGTCCTGCTTAGCCGCTGACTCACTCTGGCCTGGGAGCAGAGCCCAGCACGTGGAGGGGCAAGAGGGAAAACTTCACTGGGCCCTGCTTTTCCAGCTGGGATTTCAGAGTGAGGACTTGAAGGTAGGAGGTTAAGGCAGGTCAGAGCCTGGCATTTGGCACAGCCCCGGAGCCTCAATTTCCCGATCTGTGGAGTGGGGTAGTGAGAATGTGTGGGGCGTGGACGCCCAGCAGGTGTAGGTGGTAGATTGTATCTCAGAATTCTCCGCACTGTCTGAGATGCTGTCCCATCAAACAGTGTCAGAGCACTATTGTGTACACACGACACCCTTTCATCCCTAAGGGATTGGCTGAGCTGTTGCAAGCCCGGCCTGTGCTGGGTGCTGGAGAAGCAAAGGTGGTTTTTGTCAGCGTGGAGTCTGGGGGCAGTTGATGTCAGATTCTGAAATCAGCCAGCTGCATTCTATTATTGGTGTCCTGTAGATTTTTTCCTCCTACTTTGTGGTGGTGGAAGACCCACGAATTGGGTCAGGAATGACAGGGCTGAATTTCATCTCCTGTGACTAATAAATTGTTATGTTTAGACACCAGCCCAATCTTTCATGCTTCTACATTCAATGACCATGTCTTATGTGCAGGTTTGTGCATTTAAAGTGTTTTTTTTTTGCTCTAGGGTGCGCTTGAGAAACAGACAGAAAGCAAGAAATCACCCTCCCATGGCCATGCTGCAGTCCCTTCTCCATTCTTTTGGGATTTGGGGCAAGCAGGCACACATGCCTGGGGTGATTTTTAAGCTATTGAGTCCCAGACTCAAATCATAATCAGCCATGTGAGAAATAAGCACCTTAACCACCGCTACCTGCTGGCTCCATTACTAACAGTTTAAAAATATTTTGTATCGGACGGTGCAGGAGAGGGAGGTGGAGAAAGCATCCCCTGTGGGACATGGTCATGCTGTAGTCCCTTCTCCATCCTCGGGATTTGGGGCACCCATGCACACACCCCCAGTGTGTCTCCCAAGCCAGTAGGTACAGGATGCCCATCATGAAGTCAGCCAGGTGGGATCCACTCTCCTTTAACCACTAGACTATGGAGCCAGCACTCATTAAAATTTTTTTAAAAGGAGGTTGGGCGACCGGCAGGTGGCATGTTGGTTAAGGGTGCTGGACTCCCACATGGATGACCGTGATTTGAGTCTCGGACCTGGCAGCTTCTCTCTCCCTCTCTCTGGTCAAATTAACTAAATAAATAAGCAAGCTTGGAAGTACCTATGTTTTCAAAAGCAGAAATGCTCTAGGGTGCGCTTGAGAAACAGACAGAAAGCAAGAAATCACCCTCCCATGGCCATGCTGCAGTCCCTTCTCCATTCTTTTGGGATTTGGGGCAAGCAGGCACACATGCCTGGGGTGATTTTTAAGCTATTGAGTCCCAGACTCAAATCATAATCAGCCATGTGAGAAATAAGCACCTTAACCACCGCTACCTGCTGGCTCCATTACTAACAGTTTAAAAATATTTTGTATCGGACGGTGCAGGAGAGGGAGGTGGAGAAAGCATCCCCTGTGGGACATGGTCATGCTGTAGTCCCTTCTCCATCCTCGGGATTTGGGGCACCCATGCACACACCCCCAGTGTGTCTCCCAAGCCAGTAGGTACAGGATGCCCATCATGAAGTCAGCCAGGTGGGATCCACTCTCCTTTAACCACTAGACTATGGAGCCAGCACTCATTAAAATTTTTTTAAAAGGAGGTTGGGCGACCGGCAGGTGGCATGTTGGTTAAGGGTGCTGGACTCCCACATGGATGACCGTGATTTGAGTCTCGGACCTGGCAGCTTCTCTCTCCCTCTCTCTGGTCAAATTAACTAAATAAATAAGCAAGCTTGGAAGTACCTATGTTTTCAAAAGCAGAAAAGGTTTTATAAAAGCCTGGCCTTCCCCAAGCCTTTCCCTCAAGTTGGCTGGCCACTGCCTGTGCACTGTCCATCTGTCATGGGAGTGTAGAGAAACTGTCCTTGACCTTTAGCCTGCTTTCTGCTTTCCCCACAGCGAGGACCTGGATGAGCTGCACTATCAGGACACAGATTCAGACGTGCCGGAGCAGAGGGACAGCAAATGCAAGGTCAAATGGACCCATGAGGAGGTGCGTGACGCAGTGACTCTGGGATTGCGGAGGAAAGGGGTGGTGGCAACTGGGGAGCTGGCAGGGGAACTGATCCCAGGTGTGTATGTGGTGTCATCATAGATGGGAGGAAGAGCATCCAGGGAAAGAAATGATGGATCCTCCCTGATGATTCTGCTCTGATCATTGTTGGGACCCCCGCTCTGGGCACTCAGTGCAGGGGTCTCAGACCTCAGGACCGGCAACTGCTGTCATGGATGTTGATTGTGCTTCTTGCCCTCTGACTGCTGAGGGTTCTGCCAAATCTGCAGCCCTTTTTTCCTTTAAAGAACTTAATTGTATTGGGGCTGGGCTGTGGTGTGGTGAAGGCAGCTGGATCCCATGTGGCTGACTGCAGTTCAAGTATTATATACTCAGTGGCTTGAAGAACACGTCAGGTGTGTGTGTGCCCAGAACCTCAAGAGGAGAATGGAGAAGATTGTGATGTGGCCATTGGCCCTAGGGGATGCTTTCTCACTTTCCCTCCCTCTCTGTCTCTTGGGCAATTGATTATATGCTCCCAACACCCAATTTAAAAAAATAAATTGTGGGGCAGGCAGGTGGCATAGTGGTTAAAGGCACTGAACTCCCACATGGCCGGCTGTGGTTTGAGTCCCAGACCTGGCAGCCTGCTTTCTCACTGCTTTCTCTGTCTCTCTCTGGTCAAATTAAGAACTAATCATAAATGGAATTAAATTAATTAATTAAAAATTAATTGTATTGCATCTTGTGATATTAAGCTCTGAATTTTCACCAGCTACATCTTTCATTAAGTAATTAATTTCTCTGAACAAGAAAACAGGGAGGGATGGAGAGACAGCACTCAAAACAGGCCTAAACCCTATCCACCAGCTTCAGGCAATCCTGGGTCTGAGTGGATGAGGGTGGGGTACTCAGGGAGATCTCTGGACACAAACCCAGAACCCTCCCATGTGGCATTGCCTGGAGTTACTGCTGCATCTATGTGGTCCTGTACATCTTTTTATTTTATTTTAATATATTTTTAAATTTCTTTTTTAAATAATTTGTTTTGGGGGCCAGCAGGAGGCATGGTAGTTAAGGGCGCTGGACTCCCACATGGCTCACCATGGTTTGAATCTCAGACCTGGCAGCTTGCTTTCTTACTTTCTTTCTCAGTCCATCTCTGGTCAAAATAAAATGGATGAATAAAAATAAATTAAAAATATTCTTGAAAAAATTATTTTAATTTTACTTATTTGTTTATTTTAATTTAACCAGAGAGAGCGAGAAAGCAAGCCACCAGGTCCAGAATCTGAACTGTCTGTGGTCAACCACGTGGGAGTGTCCAATGATTTAACCAACCATGCCACCTGCTGGTTATCTTTTTTCTTTTAAGATTCTTGCCTGAGGGCATTTGTGCTCACCGGAGAGAAAGAGAGACAGAGACAATGAGAGGAAAAGTGAGAAATCACACCCCCCCCCCCCCCCGGGGGTTGGCTATGCTGCAATTCCTTCTCTGTTCTCTTGGGATCTTGGGCGTGCACACACCTGCATCCAGTGTGATTGTCAAGCTATCAGGGCTGGGACTAGAACTGTGGTCAGCCATTTGGGAGTCTAGCCATGTAACTGCTATGCCATCTGCTGGCCCTGATTATTTATTCAATTTTATTTGTTTATTTTAAATTATTTAATTTTATGTATTCATTCATTTATTTTAATTCGACCAGAGAGAAAGTGAGCCACCAGGTCCGGGACTCAAACCGCAGTCAGCCGTGTGGGAGCACCTTAACCCCATGGTACCTGCTGGTCCCCTCAATTTTATTTGTTATTATTATTATTTTAGTTCACCAGAGAGAGGGCAAGGGCAAGAGAGAAAGTAAGCTACCTAGTCTGGGACTCCAACTGCAGTAGGCCCATGTATGTCTAGCTCCTTAACCGTATGTCACATTATTTATGAATAAAAATAAATGTATTCAGATTTACTAATGATTTTTTTGTTTGTTGGCAAGAGACAGAAAGGGGACAAGTAAGAAAGCAAGCTGCTAGGTCCAGGACTCGAACCGTAGTTGACCATGTGGGAGTCCAGCCACCTTAACCACCCTGCCACCTGCCAGCCCCACCAAATTCACCTTTGTAAAATGAATGGTTTTATCAGTTTGGGGAAGTGCATAGACCCATGTATGCACCACCTTGATCATCCTAAGACACTTGCTTGTGGCCTTTTGTGTCCAGCTTCCCCAGCTCCAGGGCATGGCAATTCAGAAGTCTTAGTTTGATTCATTTTGCCTGCTCTTGAGTTTCCAGTAACTAATCATCTGGTTGCGATTGTACCTTGTATCCGGCTTTTGCGTAGCACGACGGTGAGCTGTTTAGTAACTGGGCCGTTGTCTTGTTCTTGCTGGCTAGTATTCTGTCGTGTCGGTATTCCACCATGCAGCGGGGCCTTTGCAGTGCTTGACTATTGTGGGTTGCCTGGCTATAAGTCTTTTGTGGATATATATTTTTCTTTTTTCTTGGGAAGGTACTTGGGGGTGGTTGTAGGGTGGGTGTGTGTGGTTAATTTCATAGAAACTGCCCAGCCTCTTTCTAAATTGGTTTTACTATTTTAGACTCCTACTGGCCTTATCTTTTAATTGTACCTCGATTTCCTTGACATGTTTTTGATTTTTAAAAACCGGCTGAGTTGTAACACTTTATTTTTTGATTTTTCCCATAGGCTGCATGAGCTCACTGGAAAGAGACATAGGGAGAAAGTGAGAGATCATCCCCTAGAGGGGATAACCATGCCCTTTTCCTTCATTTCTTCTTGGGATTTTGGGCACACACTCATGATTGGTGGGTTTTTCAGGCTGCCAGGTCTGAGACTCGAAACATAGCGTCAGCCGTGGGGGATCCAGCGTCTTCACCATCATGCCGCCGGCTGGCTCATAAAACTCTCTTTAATCATTAAAGACATTTCTTTGGACACAAGAAATGTGTGTCCTCTTTTTTTTTTTTTTTTTTTTTTTTTTTTGGGGGGGTCTGTGGTTTGAGTCCCAGACCTGGCAGCCTGCTTTCTCACTGCTTTCTCTGTCTCTCTCTGGTCAAATTAAGAACTAATCATAAATGGAATTAAATTAATTAATTAAAAATTAATTGTATTGCATCTTGTGATATTAAGCTCTGAATTTTCACCAGCTACATCTTTCATTAAGTAATTAATTTCTCTGAACAAGAAAACAGGGAGGGATGGAGAGACAGCACTCAAAACAGGCCTAAACCCTATCCACCAGCTTCAGGCAATCCTGGGTCTGAGTGGATGAGGGTGGGGTACTCAGGGAGATCTCTGGACACAAACCCAGAACCCTCCCATGTGGCATTGCCTGGAGTTACTGCTGCATCTATGTGGTCCTGTACATCTTTTTATTTTATTTTAATATATTTTTAAATTTCTTTTTTAAATAATTTGTTTTGGGGGCCAGCAGGAGGCATGGTAGTTAAGGGCGCTGGACTCCCACATGGCTCACCATGGTTTGAATCTCAGACCTGGCAGCTTGCTTTCTTACTTTCTTTCTCAGTCCATCTCTGGTCAAAATAAAATGGATGAATAAAAATAAATTAAAAATATTCTTGAAAAAATTATTTTAATTTTACTTATTTGTTTATTTTAATTTAACCAGAGAGAGCGAGAAAGCAAGCCACCAGGTCCAGAATCTGAACTGTCTGTGGTCAACCACGTGGGAGTGTCCAATGATTTAACCAACCATGCCACCTGCTGGTTATCTTTTTTCTTTTAAGATTCTTGCCTGAGGGCATTTGTGCTCACCGGAGAGAAAGAGAGACAGAGACAATGAGAGGAAAAGTGAGAAATCACACCCCCCCCCCCCCCCCCCGGCGGGCTATTCCTTCTCTGTTCTCTTGGGATCTTGGGCGTGCACACACCTGCATCCAGTGTGATTGTCAAGCTATCAGGGCTGGGACTAGAACTGTGGTCAGCCATTTGGGAGTCTAGCCATGTAACTGCTATGCCATCTGCTGGCCCTGATTATTTATTCAATTTTATTTGTTTATTTTAAATTATTTAATTTTATGTATTCATTCATTTATTTTAATTCGACCAGAGAGAAAGTGAGCCACCAGGTCCGGGACTCAAACCGCAGTCAGCCGTGTGGGAGCACCTTAACCCCATGGTACCTGCTGGTCCCCTCAATTTTATTTGTTATTATTATTATTTTAGTTCACCAGAGAGAGGGCAAGGGCAAGAGAGAAAGTAAGCTACCTAGTCTGGGACTCCAACTGCAGTAGGCCCATGTATGTCTAGCTCCTTAACCGTATGTCACATTATTTATGAATAAAAATAAATGTATTCAGATTTACTAATGATTTTTTTGTTTGTTGGCAAGAGACAGAAAGGGGACAAGTAAGAAAGCAAGCTGCTAGGTCCAGGACTCGAACCGTAGTTGACCATGTGGGAGTCCAGCCACCTTAACCACCCTGCCACCTGCCAGCCCCACCAAATTCACCTTTGTAAAATGAATGGTTTTATCAGTTTGGGGAAGTGCATAGACCCATGTATGCACCACCTTGATCATCCTAAGACACTTGCTTGTGGCCTTTTGTGTCCAGCTTCCCCAGCTCCAGGGCATGGCAATTCAGAAGTCTTAGTTTGATTCATTTTGCCTGCTCTTGAGTTTCCAGTAACTAATCATCTGGTTGCGATTGTACCTTGTATCCGGCTTTTGCGTAGCACGACGGTGAGCTGTTTAGTAACTGGGCCGTTGTCTTGTTCTTGCTGGCTAGTATTCTGTCGTGTCGGTATTCCACCATGCAGCGGGGCCTTTGCAGTGCTTGACTATTGTGGGTTGCCTGGCTATAAGTCTTTTGTGGATATATATTTTTCTTTTTTCTTGGGAAGATACTTGGGGGTGGTTGTAGGGTGGGTGTGTGTGGTTAATTTCATAGAAACTGCCCAGCCTCTTTCTAAATTGGTTTTACTATTTTAGACTCCTACTGGCCTTATCTTTTAATTGTACCTCGATTTC